CTAAAATTAACTATCTAATTAATATATTACGTATTATTTAAATGGTATTTGGTTGATTTCCTGACAACCTTTTCACCAACAGACATTTTGGGCCCGATTTAAGGTTAGTGTTAGCCAGATTTACTGTTAATGTTGGCTACAGATTTATTGTACCAAAACCTCCAATCATATCTAATTTATGTTACGAACAATTAGATCAAATAATCATATCAGCGGATTTGTGTAATTTGATGAATAGAAAAACCTATAAGCCATAGCTCTGGTCAAATTTACAAATCATTCGGCTAGCTTTGAATTCGAAAAACTTCAAAGCTGGCCAAATGATCTGAAATTTGACCAGAGCTACGGCTCATCCCACAAATCCGCTGATATGTAATACAGTACAATATTGCATATATGATTGGCTCAACTCAAATAAAGGAAATTTTTAATTTTTGTATAATAGGACCATATGATCCATCCTAAAAAATTTAGATCGCTTCGGTCTTTGGATGGATCGAAAGACCATCAGTCTGGACTGGATTGATTAACGGCTCTAATGTTTACATAGATTATATATAAAGTACTGTATAGTTGAAATAATAAAAAGATTAAATAATAAAAAAAAGGATAATAATAAATAAATAATAAATAAAAAAATAATAAATAAAAGAAAAGAAAAAGAAATAATTTAATTAAAACCCGTGACTTATAACGATATACTAATTACATTTCAACACTACTGTCACGGGGAGTTTTGACACGAGATAGCAATTATTACCAAATTTAGTATAATTGTAAATAATGTAAAAATTGTCAAACCGGTAATAATTGTTAATCTCGTAACATCTGTAAAAACCGTCAAGAATGTAAATACGGTAAAATTGGTTTATCGTGTAAAAAATGGAAAATAAGAAAAATATGTAAATAGTGTTAAAAATGTAAAGAACCAAAAGTTATAAAAGACCTTTGGTTTTGCTCTTGTAAAGAACAACCCTCGGGTTTCGAACATTAAATAAATATCAAAATAAATAAAATTAATCTTTTCATAATTAAATAATTAAAATTTCGTTCTTTATTACAAAGTTCCAATCGTTAAATAAATTAGTTGCATAAATTATTGCTTTCCCTTATTCAATAAAATCTCCGATCCAATAAACCTATGATTCACGTGACCCACACCAGTAGAACCCTTGTATCCTCAAACCTGGTCCTCGTTAATTAAATAACCCCTTGCATAATCAAAGAAATAAGTTGGTGATTTGTATAAGGAACGATTTAGAGAAAGCTATAAGATAAGAAGGAACTTATCTTACTCGACCAAATCGTACACCTCAGCCGAGAGAGCCTTCACCACTTAGATATTTCTTTACATTACGCAAGAAACTTGATTCTGGACCGACAGAGTCGGATCATTTTGTTGTTGTTTGTTGGTTGATATTTCCGCCGGTAACACTACACATACTCAAAAAATTTCCCGTTCCTGGTTTTAGCGCAACTGTGTTGCGCAGCTACTTTATGAAATAATTTCAACTAATTATGGATTACGCAACAAAGTTCCAGTGTTAAGTAAATTAATATGGGATCAGCATCTTCAAACTCCACAAGATATCTACCATGCAGCTGCTGGCAAAATAATGAGGCTTCCAAATTTAACAGTTGATTTGTTTTCACCAGAAGGTCAAATAGCATTCCTTGAATCTTGGAAAAGTTTTGAGCATCCAATGTATTGAGGAAAGTTACCTAATCCAATTAGTCATCGTAAAAGTTTTATGATGTCTGACTATCTTCAATTGGCAATGATTATGCCATTTATTCTTAATTGATTTTTGAAAACTTGCCATTTGAAGCATAATGAATTAGTAAAAATTCAGCAAAGAATTAATGCTAATCGTATTGATTTAGTTCCAAAATCATTAATAAAATGTTGGGTTTTAGTTTCTAAATCAATGCAAATAGTATTCAAGCACTCATATTCAAAAAATGATTACATAAACCTTGAAAACTGAAGTTCGAATATTAACTCGGTTCTATATCAGAATCCTAACACACAAAATACCAACACACAAAATACTGACAACAAAATCCTGATATTCAAAATCCTAACAAATTAAAATCTAGACAAATCAAAATCCTGACATTCAAAATCTTGACAGAATCAAAATCCTGAAAAAACCAGCCAACTTTAAAACTAATTCTGGCTAACTTTGTCAGGATTTTGATCCTGTCAAGATTTTGAATGTCAAGATTTTGATTTGTCTAGATTTTAATTTGTTAGGATTTTGAATGTCAGGATTTTGTTGTCAGTATTTTGTGTGTTGGGATTTTGTGTGTCAAGATTCTGATATAGAACCTATTAACTCGGGTAATTACTACATACAGTATTATATACAGAAATTAATATACTGAAACTATATAGTAACTACATAATTTAATAGTAACTATATAGTTACTACGTATTTCAGTATTTAGTTACCGAATATTAGGATTTTTGTAGTATCATTTATATGCTATACAAAAATTTTAAATATATCGTAACTGTATAGTAACTATATAGCTAATAGTAACTATGGTTACCATATAGTTACTATTTATACTGTATACAGTACTACAAATGTATTAATATTAAAATATTCGGATTTTTATATAGTATATTTGTATAAATTTATTAAATAAAAATTATTATTAGGTTTTCAAAGAATTTGTGGGTCTTCTCAATCTTCATATTAATGCTCATTTGGCATTACATGCGCAGACATATGGAAACCTCATCAATATTGGAGTTGGCACAAAAGAAATGGTTCATCGAATTATTAAAAGCATAGTACCATAAACTAATTGCAAGAATATTGAATTAGACTTGTTAAAATGTTATACGACCTTATTTGCTATAAGGCATCTAATTAATGGTGGAATTGATATTAGGTCTTCAAGTCCAAGTCAAGGTTTTATTGAAATCTCTCAAAATCTTGAAAAACTATTTACAGATTGGTTTATTGCTAATAACTCACCAGTTTTTCAAGAAAATGAAGAACTTAATAATGATGAAGGCAAGTTTTTAACTATAAGGCTATAAAATTAATGTTCTAGTTTTTGTGTCAATTTTTATAAATTATACAGAAATCTAATATGTAGTAACTAAATAATAACTGCATAGTTACTATTAAATTTAATAGTAACTATACGGTATAGTTACTATTCAATTTAATAGAACTATACCATATAGTTACTATTAAATTTAATAGAACTATATCGTATAGTTACTATGTAGTTACTATACAGTCACATTATCGTTATATTAAGATATTTAAAAAATTTTATATTATTTATTTTTATTCATTATAGTATAAAAATTTTTTTTATATAACGATAAGTTATGTTTTATATTTTATATTTTTTTTTGAGCGAGTGGGTAGGTTACTTGAGAATCAAAAAAATTGTTTGTTATTATACTAATTAAATAGTATATTTTTTTAGTATTTTCACAAGCTAAACATATGTTCAATATCAAGTTATGAAAGAGAATTCCATTGGCAAAACAAGATGAAATAGTGCCATGCCAAGTAAATAGTTCTGAATTCCAATCAGAACTATTATTTTCTTATCAAGATTTTGGACAAAATGCCGCTTTAATTAATAAGTTAATAAGTTTCTATTAAAATGTAACATATTTAGTAGAAAATGATCATGGAATAGTTGAAAAATGGTCCCTTAGCCTTGGAGATATTGTTACTATCCAGGAAGAAGAGGAGGAGAAGGAAAGCTTCGCTACAATTAGAGCAATTTTCTGTCACAAGAGTAATAACGGGCATTTTTATGCATTTATTGTGATTGATTAGTTTGAAAATACTAGCCAAACAAATAATATACTAGAATGTCCTATTTACAAAGTCCAGTCAACTATTAACTGAAATTGGTGATGTGTCTTTCCATTATCAGTAGTTGATAATAAAAACTACTAATATCTACAACTATGTGCTATACTTTATAATAATAATTTTAAAAACAACTTTAATTACTAACAGACAAAAAAATCTTATTATAAAATAAATTGTAGCGAAATTTTAACAAAACCATGACAAAATCTTTACTATTTTGTTATGAGTTCTTTATTTTATAATAAATTTTTTTATATGATAATTTAAGTTTAATGTTAAGATTTGGTAAAGACTTTGTTAAATTTTAATTACTATAAAAATTTAGTAAAATAAAGAAACATAATAAAATTGTAACCAAATTATTATAGCTTTTATATTCAAAGATTTTGTTACAATTTCTTGAAATTTTTATGGTAATTCAATAATTCTATTCTTTATTACAAATTTAAAATCCACTAATAAACTTTAAATTAATCATTTAATTAATATTAAGTTTGCTAGCAATATTTAAGCCACTTCTTGAAGGTACATGCATATTTTTTGTAATATTATCCAAGTTTTTAACTTGGATAATATTTTTTCCTCTCCAATGAATACGGAACATTTCACGAATAAAAGTTACTAGCTTAGCTAGTGATCCACACTTTCGAAGTTCAGATTGATTAGTTCTTGAAATATAACATTTTAGGAGATTATTGACTACATTTTCATCAATAAAATTTTTTAGATCTTTATTAGTTAATAAAGATGTTGTCACGCCTTCTCTATAAGTTAATAAGTTAATAAAAATTTGTTATATTTTACTGATAAGTTATTAATATATTTGAAGTTATTATTAAATAATGTTTTTATACCTTTCTCGCTTATTTTTAAAGTCTTTAGTAAGCTCTATTACTGATTGATTTAATTTATGGCGAAAATCGCCTAGAGCTTTTTTTGTTCTGGTTTGAATATCTCTTCCTTCATTAGAATATGGAGTATATCCAAAAATCTTTTTAATAAATTCATCAATGCATGATGATGTAGGATTTCTTATCCGAAGGAAAAGACATTTAATTTCTTCATCCCATAAACGTACATTATTCTGAAAAAAATATAGATATATTTATATAATTGGTTTATAAGTTATAAATATTATAAGCAAAGTGATAATATACCTTGTTATCAACAGAATTTGCAACCAAAGAATTTGA